GTTTATTAATATTAAAAATTAAAATAAATATAATTTTTTCGTACTCAGCAAAATATTATATGTTTGGCGCTTCTTGTTCGCCACCGTCCTTTCGGATGGTTTCTTTCCCTTTTTTTCCTTGGGATGCTGAGCGAAGTACACGTTGTTACGGGATCACTTGTCTTGTACGTTTCCCTCTTCTTCATGGCTCGTTATGACACCTGTCAGTGTTACAACTAAAGTAAACAACAGAACGAGGGCATGTCTCTAGGAACAATCAAGACCAAGATAAAAAGAAGAAAGAGAAATCAAAACGCTGTGAAAAATCGGAAGGAACTAGCCGAGATAGGAAACTGAGCACAACTGGAAGAGTGCCCGTTCAAGAACATAAGCACGAGGAAGGAGAAAGAGCTGGCGAAATAGGCAAGAGAACAGCGAGAGCTACACTCGAGAAGAAGTCGAAATCCTAAGACGAGAGACTGAAGCCAAATTGGGAGTGAATCAGATAACGCCTTGGTACAAGAGACGTTTCAAAGGAAGTTACCGAGTGGAGCAGAGGCAAGGAAGGGGCTCCGGGCACTTAAACGGCTAGGAGGTTGTTCTCGAACTAGTGAGCGCATATATCGGAGGAAGACGAGGTCGATAGGAAGGTAGGGATCAACGAGACAGCGGAGCAGCAGAGCGGCAGCAAAACTCAGGTTGTAGAGACGCGTTGAGGAAGAAGCGAAAAATCTGAGCCAGAAGGAGTGGCTATAATAGAGGGTTTTTCCTAGGTTCCAAAGGATTGGGGAGTGAAAGGGAGAACTGATAAGAGGCGGGAAAAAGCCCTAGAAGCGAGAGGAATCGGGGGGAGAAACTCGGAAGTGCGCAAAATAGGGGCTTCCTCCCTTTCCTTTGGTTTTTGGTACACAAATGATGAATGCTAAGGATACTTGAGAGGTTGGGATTTGTACCTTGCCGGTAACTTTCACTGCTCCTGTAAATCTTGCCTGTTTCTTAGTTATTAATCGAGTATTTTGATTTTGCTCATTTGAATCCTGTTTTCCTCGAAATTTCTAGTTTTCTATTTTAATTGCTAAAGTGCGGCTGATCATTTTAAGGCTGAATGCTTAGTTTCCGTTTGGGCTGAGGGGTTGGTTGGAAAGCATGTTGGGTCTTGAATGAAAGTTGCCCACACCGTGATCAATAAAATGTTCTGCGAAGTTTGTTGTAATTGGCATCTAGTGTTTTTGTCCCTGGATATCTATAAATAATGCATGGATGTGTGACCTATTTCAAGAATAGGGATTTTACTGAGTAATAAGTATGGCATCCTGGTGCTAGTTTCATACTCCTTTTTTGCCTATTTATTTTAGTTCCTGGTCTATCGTATTGGTTTAGCTGGTGAATGTAACAAGAATCTATTATTTTGATAAATATAACCTGGTAGTCGTCCTTATGAACTGACTTAGGCGTATTGCTCAGTTTTAATATCATAAGAATGCTTGAAAGGGTTAATCTTCCATTGATTAACGAAGCCTATGATAGAATGCTTTTGGTAGTCATCAAGCAAGGTCCTTGGCAGTTATTGTATTGTCTGTTAAAACACAGTGAGATGTGTTTTATTTTGCATGGGCTAGCCAGTCCTAGATGATTAGGATAAGCTTATATTTTTTGATATTTTTGAACTCTTTTATTTACGTTTGCATGATCTAATGATCTTAATAATGGTGACCTTGGCAGTAGTAGTCAGAATACAGAGAGGAAACTATTTTTAGAGTTAGGTTTAGGCATTGTTCGTTTTTGCTACTGATTTCTTTTTTGAGAGAATTTTGTTCTTTTTTCAGATTTTACTGATTTTTTAAAATCCCACGCTGGTTTAGTTTGTTTTTGAATTAGCTTTTAGCTTTGGTGGGGTTATCACTAGATTGATTCTTTTTCACCCCTGGCATTTCATTTCTTCTAATGCTTCCTTATTCTGTAAATATTCTTTTGGTAATATTTGGAAAATTTTTGACCTGATTTGGGACTGGAAGATAGAGGATTGGGTGACGTAGGTCCATGTTTACTCCTTTTGCTGTTGGATTACACAATAAGATAATTACATTGACTGTTTGCACCAGTTTGCACGTTAAAGACTTCTGTTTAGGGTGTAAGCTGTGCCTTCCTCCAATAGTACTTTCAGTTAAGCTTTGTTATGCGGTTACGTTTTTATGTTTGATTTTAAGTTGTTATGTATTGCTTTTTTATCTAAAAAAAAAAAAAGGTTTTATGTATTGCTTTCATTTTTTTGTAATGATTTAAACTGTTTTTCTTTCAGGGTGCAGCAGTTTTATATGCATCAATGGCTTGGAGACACATTGGGAAGAAGGTACTTGATATGTTTCTTCTACTGTATGGTTTTATGCCGGGGAAATTTAAATTTTCTTTACCATTTGGAAAATTTCATAAAAGAGCATGAACATATTAACAAATCTGGATTTCTTTTCAAATTTTAGACATAAGAATAATATTTGCAATTAATTTGACATCTCTACTGAATTATTTGTTTCAAACAGAGTGTAGGTCTTAAATTGGGCTTAAATTTGATTTTGACATCTGATGGATATTTAAAAAATTCATAGTTCGAATTGGATAGTAGATGTAGTCATGAGATTTCCTTATTATCTTGTGAGTTAGATTGCTTTCTTATTATCTCATGGCATATTTGGTAAAAGGAGGAAGCCTATGAAGTTGAGAACCATTTTTAAGTATTTTTGAAATTTTTCTGTCTCTCTGTGGGCGTGCCCATGCCTTTTCTTTTCCTGGATAGGAAAAAGGAAGAATTTGAACAAGGTACCATGTTCATGGTATCTGAGTTAAAAGAAGCTATAACATGGTCAGTGGGAAAAATCTATATGACCTTCCTCATTCGGGAGAAGATGCCATGCAGACAAAAAGTTCAAGTGTGAAGCAGTCCATCCTTGATGTTAGTTATGGGAATCTCGATCCCATAAAAAACCGTCATATTTATTTCTTTCCAATTCACCCAAAGTCTCTAAAAGCTTGAACGTCCAAGCATGCATATTTTCCTCTTAACGGAGTTAGCTACCACCCTCTTTACAAAGAGAGATCAACTTTAAAAATTCCTGGACCAATTGGAAGAAGAAAGAATATACACAGGGTTCTTGGTCACTCTCATGACATGGTTGCTACATTTATGATAATCTTCTCTGGCAGCCAAAAAAGAAAAAGAGAAAGAAAACTCAGGAAGGACCTTGTATATTTGAATAGCATCCTTGGATAATTTTCTCCACCACCCTCATAAGTTATAGGACTTAACTCCTTTATTAAATCTCCACAGTCCCCTAGCTTCCATGTCTGTGCTAACTCTAAAGGGGTACAACAAATTCAAACAATGTATTCAAATCCTTCTCGATAAAAAGAAAAAAAAAACTGTTGGATGACAGTGATTGAAGGGGTTGCAATGGTAATGTTCCTTGTGTTTCTTGTTATAAAGCTAATTGGAAGACTTCTGAATGTTGTGCTTTATCTGTATGGACAGTTAGGTGATTGAGAGGGAGAGAGAAAAGGAAGGAGAGATCTGGACCTGGAAAAGATTACCTATATAATATTTCACTGTGTCTTTTTGCAGGATATCCATGCTAGTGTTGCTAGAGGTTTGGCTTCTACAAGACTAGGATATGCCACAGGGTCCATTTCTCCATTCAGGTTCAAGGATGCAGCAAAATCAATTTCTGCTGCTTCAGATCATCGGATGCATGGTAAATTAGGCATTAATACATTCACGCTTTTCTGTGATAGTTCTTTGCATTTTGGTTCAAGTTGTCAAAATTTTATTGGCCAATTAGTTGCCATGCTTCTGTAGTGCATGGAAAGAAAGAAACAATAGAGTTTTTGAGGGTCTTGAAAGGAATTTTGCCAACATCAAGGATAAATGGTT